AGCGTACGGTAAAACTTGACTAATAACTGAATAAAAGAGAATCGACCAAGAGGTCACCTTAAAACCAAAAAAAAAAAAAAATCTAGCAATCAAACGTCTTGCTAGATATAAAATCAATAAAGAATATTTTTCAATTATATTATATGTAAACTCTGATAGCTCACACAAATTAAACCTCTTTAGTATTAGAAAATATAAAAGGCCACACTATTTTAAAAATATTAATATTAACAATAGGTCTGTATCATTTCACTAACAATCACTTTATTGATATCTTAGTTCACTAACATTTAATTTATTGACAAGTTCATTTTACTGCCAATTAATTTATTGACAAGTTCTTTTTACTAACAAGTTTATACTAACTTTAACTCTAATTCTGGCCTGATTCTAACGACGATGACCAGAATTATGTTGTCTGTAAAATGAGCTGTTGGTAAAATAAACTGTCAGTAAATAAACTTGTTAGTGAATTAAATGTCAGTGAACTAAGATATTGGTAAATTAAATATCAGTAAAGCAAGCTATACTGATTAACAATATGCTAATAATGTACCATAATAATGCCAAAGCCTGGATGATTACATTGCTCTTTCAAGAATAGATTCAAGAATTTGATTATCCAGTTAGTCTAATATACCAAGGTCTACATGTATTACTTCTTCTTGTCTAATATCCTAGTTATAAGTTAGATAGGCTTACTTTACAATATACTGAGGTTTTTTTTTTTACCCAAAAATACCACATCAAGAATTCAACCTCTTGATACTAGAATAATCATAACTTTTAAATGATATTATTATAATTTTTTTGTACAATAAATTATATTTATATAAATTTTATATTATGAATATTAAAGTTTTTAATTTTTACAAATTATATAATATTAATATTAAAATTTTTACCTTTTTTTTAAAAAAAATAAAATAAAAAATAAAATAAATAAATAAATAAATAAAAAATAAATAAAAAAATTAAAAAAAATTAAAAAAACAAAAAAAAATTTAATGTTACAACATGTTGAAGCGGGTAACCATACTGAAGATTTAAAAATTAATATTTTACAAGTAATTCATTTTATTATCCAAATTTGGAATAACACTTCTATCAGAACTATTCATAACTGTTGGCACCACAACAAGATTCTTCTGACCTTTATTACTAAAAATCTGCAAGATATTTTAGAAGATATTTGTTCAGAGAACTTAGATGATTTTGAAGAAATATTCAAGCCTTTAATCTTTTTAATCCAATAGGATGTTGAAGAATTTCTCACTATCCCTGTAAAAAATATTGTATATGAAGTTCTCACAGATGATCAAATTATTAATGAACTTGTATATCTCTTTAATAATATGGATGAGAACCCTGATTCAGAAAAATTAGATGATAGCCAAGAAATTCCTATTATTAATATCAGCATTGCTACTTTTAGTCTAGAAACTGTATACATATTTCTTCTCTACCAAGATAATGCAAAAGAATTTCTAAAGTTAATAAGAAAGATTGAAAAGTTTATTAGATTCAAAAAAACAACCCAAATACGACAAACTAATATTAAAATATATTTTAGATAAATAAATACTTAACTTGTAATGTATTTGTATTTGATATAAAAGTATTTACTAGAGCTAAAATATCTTTAAAATTTTAATATAAATAAATAAAATAAATCTGTAATCTCATAAATACTGCCTGTTTAAAACTATCAAACTATTATTAATCACTTGATCATCATAAATGACTATACGCAATACTTGGGCTTAGTACATTTCACCAACTTTAAATTCTCTAATAGACCCTCAGCTATAGTAGATAGCTATAAGTTTATATAATAGAAATAAAAATTTGATACATACACACTTTGCAATCTAGATTTTTAAAAGACATTTCTTGTAATTATATTCGAATCTAGATCTAGATTACAGCTTAAGGAATCTCTGAAATTCAGAGATATTCGAAAGTAAAAAATATACAGAAGCTTTGACAGATATATTATACTAGCAATTCTAGTAGTAAAGAATATGAACTTATATTGTCTTGCTCTACTAATATATCTATATAACAATACTATTTTTCTATTAGCTGTTCTTCAAGTATACACCCTCTCTAAATGCACACATATATCTGGTCTCAAGGTTATACACTTATAGAGATTTTACTATATATGTAAAATTATATTCTAAACGACTTCAGTTTAGGTAACCAAAAAGGTTATCTTAGTAAAAAAAAAGTTTTCTATGTACTAATATCAAAATTTTTAGTTTTTCTATAAAAACTTTTTTTTTGCTTAAATAATCTGTTCTGACCTCTTAAGCAAATTTGTTTAGTATATAATTCTATATACTTTATATCTTGTCGATTTTGTTTTTTTAAACTTTTTACTAAGTAAAAGATTAGATTAAAGGTTATACAAATTTTTTTTAAAAAAATTTTTTTTTTTTT